AGGCCATCGCTATTGGGTGGAGGCCATCGCAAGTAGTTTGGAGGCCAGTAGGTTGGCCATCGCTACTAGGAACCAGAAGCAAAGGTGTGTGATTCGTTGAAGTCGCTCTCCTTCGAGTGCAGGAGAGGCTCCCTTCGAATGGGTGGCCGCGTGCTGCCGCAGACGGGCGGCTTCACCGATAAGGCCGAGTGCGTCCCCGGGGAAAAGGCCCAAGACCGGTGCGGCCGAGCCCATTTCTCACAATACATAAGGTCCCAGTGTTTGGGTCGTCCCAGTAAGTGTTTGGGTCGGGTTAGTGAAAGCGTTTTGGGATGTTCTGTCTTTTGGTGGATGTCATGTGTTTCTTCTTTTTTGTGTTTCTTCAGGCGGAGGCGACGGCACAATCTGAGATTCAGACGCCAAGGGCCGACCCTTTTCGGCCTCCGGCCTCGGGACTCAACTTGGTCCTTTCCCTACCGGTCAGGACCTCACTGGAGTTGGTCACATGACTTCATGAGGTTTTCAGAACCAGGTTTGAGTGGATCAGTTTGGACCTGTAGGGTCTATTTCTGGGGGGTACACCAGGTTCGTCTTAGGTCGTTCCATCGAGTGGACACTCGATGTTCTTTTGGTTAGGTGAAGTGAACGAAGTTCTTTCGTCCAACGTGGGGCGTCACTGATTTGGACGGATGTTCAACTTTATAAACAGAACTAACATGAACGAACCCCACTAACATCCACTAACTACATGAACTGACTAACTCACTTGCATTAACTGACTAACTTCCAATGAGCACCGCTCGGATGCACAACCATCTGTCCGTCATAGTCCGCAGGTGGGCAAAGTGGAACGGACCATCGTGGTGACCGCGATCCCCTACGGCGCCGACGCCCGGGCGGTCCAACCGACGTGGCGCGTCGTCCGGACCTCGTCCCGTTGGTCGGCGCCCACCGGGGCGGTCCAACCGGGGATGGTCGGGGTGGTCCAACGGTGTTTGGGGTGAGTTTGGGCACAGAAGACCAAGACCACGGGTGCCTTCAAAGGTATTCAAAGGCCTGCCGACCAGGGGCCTCGAGTTGCATGACAGTGACTTGATCAGCGTCTAGCAGCAGTTGCTATAGATCCATCTACCTTCTCAGGAGACAGACAAACCCTCCAGTCAACATGGATATTCGGATGGTCTGTGATGACCTGCTAAACTTGTGTTGGAGTTAGAGTTAGACTGAGTTCGAGCTATTTGAGGGTTTGGGAGATGTTGAGCTCACAAATTTACAACTTGTTATATATAAGCTATGGCTATAGTCTATAGCGATCTACAGCGTATGTATACTTGATAATTGATGTGTTACACATGTTTGTTGAATGCAATGCTACAATGGGCATGTCTAATATCTCATAGCACACGCCGGCCTGGTCAAACTTGGGTGTTCAAGTCATATCCCCCAAAATGGTAGACCATCCTGCAGCCAGTTTCTTCACCTGGCACACCAAGTGTTTAGACCCCCCTCTCTAGGTGTCCGAGCACATTCAGCTTTGAAAAATACAACAATTCATATATTGTTCACCCATTCCTATTACCCAATATTAGCTTCGTGCCTGCACATACCACTTAGCCCCAGTGCAGAGCGATTTCAGCCAAACTAGGATGAAAAGATCATCTTCAAGCACTTTAGCAAGTGTGGCCTCATCGAGGACTTGCAGATGCTTTACAATCGAAAGGGAATGCTGCTCGGAGCCGAACATCGATTCGTTGCGATGTCATTCCTCGAAGACACCGGTGCCCCGACACCCGAGCGTTCAAGGCACTTTCTGACATCGGCAGGAATCCCTGCACCTTCTGAACTGGGAACAGTCAAATACAGACCAGAGTACTGACCTCACACGCAGCCTCCCGTGCTTTGGAGACGCTTGGACGACCCAGATGGGAAACCAAGAGCAGTGATGACGTCATCCACTCATGGATCCGCACAGCACTAGGTCAGGACTGGACTTGGTCACCCAGAATCAAGACCTGATGGTATGTGGCTCCTACAGTCAATCCGGTTTCAATCTAACTTGGATGAATTGCCGCTGGCAGTGTTAGCTGGAAGTCAAGGTGCTGGCTGATGATCTACCATATGTCAGCGGAGTAGTGGAGTCCGGCGATGTATGCTTCCTTGACTCCAAAACCCATCCTCTCCGAAACGGGCCGCTCCATGACCCCAGCACCGGCCAACCTACCGACCCACTCAGCTGTTCAACCGCCCGTGGTCAGACCGACTCGCTACTTCCGAGGCCCACGGGTGTGGCCATCATCGAGTTCTCCTTGGAGGAGCCCGTGCAGCGCGCGACCACGCTGCCGTCGCCCTTCAACGAGATCCTCGGCCAGGCGGAGAAGCCGGGCGCGGGCAGCGCGGCGCTTTGGGAGAAGTGCAAGTGCGGGAGAAGTGGAGATGGGGATGGTTGATCTGAGGCAGTCCAATGGATTGTTCAGGGACTTGCTGGTGGGCTATCCATAAAATAGAAAATCAGTGAATGAAGAAGAACAGCAGACACATCGCTATAGGAGTGATCCTGCTACCGCAGGAAGGTTGATTCCTTGAACCCCCCCACTGGGCACCCTAGTGAAAAACAAGACAAACAAAAAACACACAAACAGTCAAACAACCAAATAAACAAAGAAACAAAGCAAAACACAGCAAATCAAAGCAACACAAAGCAAAGCAAAAACAAAACAAAGCAAAGCAAACACAAAACAAAGCAAAGCAAAGCAAAGCAAAGCAAAGCGAAACAAACAAACAAACAACCAAACAATCAAACAAACAAACAAACAATCAAACACACATATTGGTCATGATAATTTACATGATGATATGCTTGTAAGACGATGGATTCGCCCTTTATAGCGAGCCAATGATCCCAGACTTGTGGATCTTGTGGTACCAGATCCTTCCATCGACTGGGCTACTTTCGGGCTGGAGGGTGGCGGGGCAACACGGCTGAACTGGTTGAACTGCAACGGGGTGCGGAGCTGACTGGAGTGTTTTTCTCGGTTGTTGGTGTGTGTATCCCCTGCATCATCACCATTCAACACCCCTTAGCTATTGAAATGTACGCCTGGGGTACCTGTTGTTTGTTGTCCGTTTGGGCTAACCAGTTGTGCGATTCCGACGGCGGAGTCCGCCCTGCCAGGTGGTCCAGGCGAAGCGGGCAGACACTTAACAGCAGCGGGGGAAGCCCTGCGTTGTATGATTGTCAATATGACAAAACATATCAAAACAACAACAGCACAAGTCAAAACACTATTTGTATACCAGGTTGGCAGTTGGCAGTGTGTATATATGTAATAGATCATAGGTGTTTTATCATTATATGTCGTATTGCATGATATTGCATTGGTCAATAGTGAAGATGAACAACATGTTGCGTCTCTTTCAATTTACAAATTCAGATCGATTGTAGGAGGTTGAAAAGAAGGAAGAATTCACTTGTAAGAATCTGATCTACGAAGAGCCTCAAAGCCAGGGTTTAGTATTTGAACTCCTAGTTTTGGGCAAGCTCACTTTGCACATGCAGGGGACTGGAGGTGTTTCGGTAGATTTCACCGGATGCCTTACAGCACCAAAAGGTTCCAAAAAGTGCTGATTGTTTTCTGGACATGACACTTAGTTGAGCCTTCACAAGCCTATTGCATGCTCTGGAACATCACATCATTCTTTTGCACGTTTTCTCGTGTGCCATTTTTTGCCCGCTACTATAGTTATGACGCACTCTAAACTTCAAGATATCCTGCTCAGAATCACGCATAATAAACAACAGTTTTAGTCCAAAAATTGAGTCTACATCTTGGGTGACTGGTCTGGCTTTGGATGTGATTTTCTGAACGGCAGACATCCCTTCACCGTTCCCAGGACGCACAGATTCCGAAGAAGGATCCAGGGCCCAAGAGAACTCTCACGCGCCAGCAGTTCACACAGCAGGCGACCGCTGCGATCAGACGCGGTGGGGTGAACCAGCGGAGCAAACAAAGGACATGGCCTACTATAAGAGACCCTAGTTGAGGGGTGAACCAGCCTCTCTGACTCAGGGTCGCCAAATAATGGTAACTATACCCCGGGAGTTTGTAATGTATCCAGACACAACTCCTGTGTTTGACAGAGAAGATGTATTATGAATGAATTATGAAAAAATGGATGTGTTGGACACACATTACAATTTGTTGAATTGGACTGGACCCCGATTTCGTGCAGATTGTGGTTTGGAAGGGTCCTACATTTTAAGACAACAACTTACTGCCATCCTTCAGGAGAGGAAAAAGGTTAACATTCAATCATCCTTTCCCACAGTCAATCACTACAACTATAAGCATAGAACCAGATTGAACCGTCTTCCTTGGGATCACACCTCACACCTCCTCGGTGGGGTCTCCAGGTGCTGAGTGGCTTAATGAAGCCATCAGATGCTTGGGGCTGTTGGCCGAGAGTCACAGAGATGTGGCAGGTTTGGGGTGGTGAATGGACACCTCTTAACCTCTAAGAGGCTATGATTGGCTATAGGATTTTGACAGCCCGGAACGGGGCCCCGGGCTGAGATGTGTCGATTTTTTGTGAATGTCGAGGATTGAAGAAGAAGAAACGATGTCGATGGCTTCGACTAATAAGCCTTTATAGGGCTCTACGAAGGGTTCTAGACCATGCCAATGCCAATGATTCCTTTTAAAGGTAGACGGGCTGAAACCCATATGTCCCATGTCCCCGCAGATATGGATTGAAACACCATTCCCCCATGGGACAGCGAACGGTGCTTTGAGCGACGCGGCGCCGATCGGGGTGAGCGTGGAGCCAAACGGAGCGGCCGTCCCACGGCGGGTCCGACCCCCCCACCGACCCCGATCCTATATTGGTTGACAGAGGCGGGGGTAACAGTGTTAGAGCCACCGCCATATTGGGTAACAGGCCATATTTATCCATGTTTGCATAACATTGCATAACTATATGACTGTAAAACTGTTTGAATATCTTGTAACACGTTTTAAGTATACTAACTCACTGTTACCGCGTTTGAAACTTGTCTCAAACAAATATGTGGTCCTTGTTGGGATGAGCACCACAAACATATTTGTTTATTTGTTCTTGCGATCAGGATCTATGATACAACTCCAGCTCCCTTCAAACATAGTAAACATCAGTGACATCAGTTTTATCATGTTTTATCAAGAATTCCCACCAGGGTGCGCGGACAAAGGTAGAGTCCAAACCCACACATGTTTGGGTGCAAAAGCCAACCATCAGCCAACCATCAGAGATGTGAAAGGCAATCCGCACGGAAGGTGTTTTTCTTTTGGAACTCGGAGACTGCACGTCCTTAGAGGAACCCTCGGCGTCGGTGGGGTGACGCGGAAGCGTTTGATCCTCGCCGAGCTGACCTAGCCGACCTCGGTTCGACCAGATGGTGGACCTGGTTTTGGTCGGTGTCAATTCTTTGGTAAAGCAAAGGTTGTTTGGTACAGACTATACATAAAACAATGGTTGTTGGAATTACAGGGTACATGTTTGCACTTGCCTGGACTCGCGACCGCAAAAGTGACATACCCAGCCTTGATGGCTTTGATGGCTGTTCTCGTCCCTCATCTCCTGGTCCTGTTACGTTTGGGTTTGTTGCCATCCAATCCTTTTATCCAAGGAAGAGAAGATGAATATGAGGAAACTGCACATTAAGAACCTCCGTCCCGTCGTCAGGGACGACGACTTGCGCCGCTTGGAACAAGAAAGGACAGTTGATGTGCTCAACATGTGAATTGGTTTGTCGATTAGTGCAACTGGCTACTATACTATATAGGTTGTTTTTTTGTTGTATATCAATGTTGGGAGTTAGAATATCGGTACCCAAGAGTTTTATCCACCGTCTCAAGACAATTCAGACCTGTTTTGATAAGATTGACTTATTAAGGTGAGAGAACTACCTCTGGAGCTTGAGGAAAAGATCACAAACAAACGACAACAGGGCCAAGTGTTTGCCAGTCAGGAAATTCCATGGTCAGTCAGTGAGCCAGCCTTTTGGATTGGAGGAGTCACAAAGACGACGGATCCAGACACAACAGCCCAAGTTCTAAGAGCTACTCAAAATTTCGGGAAGACCTGGACGGCTGAGCAGCTGTGCTAATCCTGAACATGACCCACAATATGCCAGAGCCTCAGGCAGTATCTTCAAGCCCTTTGGGGAGTTTGAGGATTTCCTCATGGGCAGCGGCGAGTGTTGGATCACCTTCAAAAATCACAGCGATGCCCAGGCTTGACCGACCGCCCGTGCTCGTACCTGAAAGGTGAATGATGGTTAGCAACTGCGGCAACTGCTAGGTTCCATGAAAATCACCAAAAGATGATGCGACACTCCTGTTTGTGATTTTCTTTTTGAGCCTACAAGAGGCCGAACGAAAACACATCAAGCCCAAGACTGCCTGACTGCGGAACTGAGACGTCAGAGGGCAAGCCTTCACGTAACTCGTGCCGAACGGACGAACGTGTCGGACGGACGTCTCTTCGTCCCGGCACGTGCCGGTCTCGGACCGGGACCGAAGCGACTGCGACTCGCGACCTCCACAGGATGCGATGACCTCCATGCAGGGATTCCAGTTGGTCGGCCAGGAGAGTGGACCGGGGCGAAATCGAAGGCGGGAGTCGAGCTATCAGGTGCGGGCTGAGGCGTGTCATGAGCTATCAGAGCCAGGGATGAAATCCCAAAGAATCCTTGAATCATGTGGACAACGGTTCTGTCGATACCTCATAGGACAAGGGTGGAACAGCTGCCAAACTCTTGTGTGCTTGCAATATTTGCTTGGGATTCGTGTGGGAGATATGACCTTGGTGTTTTTCAATGTTTCAATCTATATACCAAACACCATACAGAAAAAGACGCATGGGACCTTGAAGAACACCCACAGCAGCGAGGAGGGTCCCTTCAAGACAGACTCAGATTACTGTAGATGGTTTCCTTTTGGTCTTCCCACACTTCTGCCTCCGCCGGCTATGTTTCATGAGGAGCTCAGCATCAGCATGCTCTCAGTGAGCATAGCCAAGAGCACCGAAGCGCCCAAAGACGCAGAGGCGGAGACGACGACATCTGGAGGAAACAGAGAGTTGAGCGGCACCAAAACCGAACCCCACTCCAACTTACGCACGAGCGCAGTACTGTATATTGCAGTTTGAACTGCTACATGGACCTCTTTTTGTTTGTAGAAGGTCTTCCCCGAACCATTTTTGTCGGTCTTTTGCATGAGTCTGAGAGCTACAGCTGGTCTTCTGGAAGCTACAGTGAGTCCGACGTGTGAAAGACGTCGGAACCGGGGCCCCCCCGGTTCCGATTTATGATCAAGAACCGGACATGGTTCCACTCACTCTTCCAAAATACATGACAAAACATGTACCAGGACCATCCATTCGGGGTCCCCAATAGACCACCGTATACACTACTTCTGCACTATCATTGCATGGAAACACCGTTTCGCAAAAAGGTGCTCCGCTCCAAAACAAACATTCACGAACGCTCCAAAAAGAGCCCAAGCGGCTTCTTCTCGGCTTCTTTGAGGCGGAGAAAAAGCCGAAGCCCTTGGATCTGAAGAACGATTCAGACTTCGGCGCGACGGGCTCGGGTTTCGCGGATTCAATGGGTGAGAGGGCGGAGTGACGAGCTAAAGGGGACCCCAGCGGGATCGGCCAGTGTATGCGCAGGATGGGACGAGGGGACCGGGCCGAGCATTTTGCGGGTGGATTCTCGGTTTCGCAGTAATCTTATATATTTTTGTCATGTGATTGAAATGGAGCATTCCAGTTGCTTGGAGCAACCAGCAAAATGCTTCTTCCGGGCCCTTTTCTTCTTGAAAAGCAGCCCCAAGGTTATGTGAGTCAAAGCTCAGATGATTTTGTGGTTTAGATCCCCAGCCATCCTTGTATTATGCACTTTGTTTAACGCTTTTGTCTTTCGCTTTTGCTTTGTTCATGATGTTTCCATGGAGCCAGTCGATCCACGACACAGCCGCTTCCGTCGATCGGATGTCGTAGGATCGACGGCGTCACCCAGGCGTGTCCAACGTGCACAACCGCATCGAAGTGATGAAGAAGCTCTTGAAGGTGTGGCATCCCATGACCTTCGTTTGTGGATATATAGGTGGATAACCCTACCGAAATGACCGGGGAGGTTTGAACTCACAGCTACATAGCTGACATAGCTGGTGGATGCATGCAAACTTCAAATGAGCGCCGGTCGTAGTACCTGTATGCGCTTCTTCGACCGGCGCTGTTCCGTGACCACTCCAAAGCGGAAAGGGCCGAAGGCATCACAACGGGCGGTGGGGTGAGTCACGGTGATGGATCGGCTGCTGCCAGGTGTTTCGTATCACAGCTGCCAAGGTAGTATACGTACAATATATAGACTTGTTGTGGTGAAGTGTATTCCCAGTATTCCCCCATCTCAAGATTTCTACCGTCAGTTTGGTGGAGGATGTCTTCCTTCAGCAAATTGTGTGGCTTTTTTGTCAGTTCATTTAAGGAGCCCCACAATTCCTTCGACATAGCGTCCCATCCTCAAAACTAAAGCACCTGCACCATTCCTCCAAGGGGTGTGCAATGGTGATTGATAAATTATAATCATTAATAACTTTAAAAACAAATAAAACTCATACTCATTCTTATTATATATCATAGTGTAGCCTGCAGCCTGTACGTCAATGACCCCTAGGATGGTTTTGGTAAAATCTGGCAGCACGCTAAGATCTTGTTCAGGGCTTTCAACTTCCTGGAAAGCAAAACTGGGTCACCATGTTTCTACTAGGACACTCTTCAGGGGTGTTTGTAGTTGGGATGGACTAGGACAATATACCCAGCAAATCCTTCTTCTGTACTTCACAGTTTTGCAATGGGCATTCGCAGAGATTTCGGCCTGTGTCTCCAGTAACACTTTGTTTCCTGTAGCGGTTGGGACAATGGGTTTCTGTTACAGTGTAGTACCTTGTGGTTCCCACATTTGCCACCAAGTGTTTCACTCGAGGCTTAGGATCCTTTGGGAAGTGGTTTGAAACATCGCCATGTCAACACATCCCACATATAGATCTTTGACATTTCAGTGCTGTGCGAGACTGATCCCAAGCTCCAGTCTGCAAGTTCTACGCCACTTTGCAAACAAGCGAGGCTCCTCCTTCTACCGAGGCCCACAGCGGCAGCGGCATCCCCACCGTGGTGGGACTGCCAGTGCCCTCAGAGCCTCCTGCAGATGGCGCGGCGCCCGCAGCTCCCCCCGCAGCGCCGGCGCCGACGGCGGAGCTGCCGCCGGCGCCGAAGCCGGGAAACTCGACCAGCTGCACCTTGCTGCTGCAGAATATGTTCAACCCTGGGAAGGTGGCCTGGGGTTGGGAGTGGGGGATCGGAAATCGGATGTGTTTGAGGCAAGTTTGTGGTATTGGGAAGTTCGAGGAAGTGACATACATTTCTTTTTGCGACCGCAGGTGGTCTCTTGCAGTATATTGGTAGAAGTCCCAGTGAGTACTTGGCAAAAGCGCGAGGCGTGCACCCCAGGAGAAACAATTCCACCCGTTGACCATCCAGAGAAGGATTCGAGCTCCAAAGACCATCCAAAAAATATCAAAAAACATTCAAAACTACTTTCACAGCCATCCGAACTGAATCCAATGCCAGTTCGAACCTATAGCATGTACCAAAGACGCAGCAAAAGTAGACCCTTGGGGCCTATATATGGATGTTCTAGCCCGTTGATGCCCTCGGCCCGAGTCTCAGCCCGAGTCTCGGCCCGAGTAGCCTCCAGGTGGACTTGGCCTCGGACCCCAAGTTCTACGAGGCATTGCGGGAGGACCGAGCTGGGAGTGGAGGAGTCTGATTTGGTGCTCCATTGTGGCCCGCGCCCTGCGACCAAGACGCAGGATCCAACACATGTGGGTGTGAAAGAAAGAATGGAAGGGGGATGTGGTGGTTTGAGGTGTTTCTGTTTGGGCCGTCGGTGGGGTTGGGATCTTTTTAGCCATAAACGAGAAAGTAGCTTTCCAACGCCCAATGCTGACCGCTTTTCTCGCTCCCCGTGTGCGCACGGTGAGGACACCCACGAGGAGTGTGCCAAGCAGGGAAAGGTGGTTCACGTCACGGTAGATCCTCGTGGCACCGCAGGAGAGACCGGAGCGCGCAATCTTTGTGGGGTTTCCCTGTCGATGGTCCTTCCCATAGAATATGATATATATATATATATATACCAGGGTCATTCAATGGGTGTCCAATAGACAACCTTACCCTACTTACAGGTCTCCATTGGGCACCCGTTGGAAGTGCTAGGTACATATATATATATATTCACAAAAAAAACACAACCAGATCTCAAAGTGTTTGCAGACCAGTGAACATTTGTTTTGCTGGCTGCGTCTTTATATTCTTTGGGGTGCCCCAGTTGGTGTGGATCTGTGGAGAGGGGGAGCCGCACTGCGTTTTTCCCCGTTGGCTTCACTCATCGCAGCAGCAGGTCGCATGGTGTGGGACCCACCCGGTCAACCTCCATCACTCGTCGGCGTTCTATGCTGGTATTCGGAACTAACTACAGTGAATATTGCCGCCCAGTTTTTGTCAGTTGATGAGGTATGTGATGTAGACTATTGGGTCATATTTCATTGCCACCACAGGAATGCCCCAGGGATCCACATACCTTCGCAGAAGGTACTTGGACCTCCAAGTATACATGAGAGAGAGAGTCCAATCACCGTACCTCAGAGGGTATGTGGATCCATAGGGCTGGTAACATCTCAACCCGGCCCCTTTCGCCGAACACTCACAGATGGTTCATGATACGTTTGATACGTATGTTTCCTTCGCTACCAACCAACTGTTTGACCCACTGTGATTCTTATTTGTTCAGACAACTAGATGCAGATGGGTTTGTCACGATGGGGCCTGGCAGTAGGGAAAAGAGAGCAAACGCCCTTGCTTGGTCGGTGTCCTCTCATTTTGAGGCAGACCTCATCGTCTTTTGATTCTACATAGTTGTACATAGTAGTGCTTGTTGTACTCATCATTCTTTGATGTCACCAATTGGCTTTTGCATGTTTGTTTCTGTCAAGATTCATCACTTCTGCTATACCTTATATACATTTTGTTGTGTTTGTTTAAGTCCCTCGACTCACAGGATTGATCTACGTCCTCTATGAAACCCCCCAGCAGCGGCTGGCGGGTGAGCTGGCGCTGAACGGTGCCTGGTTCGAGGGGAAGAAGATCATCGCCACAGGAGAGAGATGTGAGTTCTTCGAGTCGAGAGAGTCGCGAGAGTCGGTCCAGGTGGATCGATAGATCGGACCCAGACGATCACTACTGTGAGACAAACACTTTTCGAACATATTTTGGAAAAAAATAGTGATGTACTAAGTATATACATGTCTGCAAGTATAGCATCCACCTGGATGTCTCTGCTTTCTAGATGTGCTGACGCTGTGAGGCTACCCAGGCCACTAGCGATCATTGGATGGTCCATGCATTCCATGCGACTGGGATAGTGACCGATCAGTTCGGGTGTTTGAAAAGGTGTGAAAAGAAAGGCTATATAAATCTATATATACATATACATATATATATATATAATAGTAAAATATATGTTCCATTTCCATGGAGTGGTTGGGATAGCTGTAGCTGTCACAAAAGCTGTCATTAACCTTCACTTCAGCTCATTACTCATGGCTGTCATGGTGTGGAATGACATACTGATGAGGACATCACATGCCAGTGGATGGCCCAAATAAAGTGTCCTGCAGAAACAGGGTTACACTTCCATGTTCGTTTGGACACACCCTGCCTCTCATGGACGCCTTCTCGGGCACATGGTTCTTCGAGGGAGAGCTGCACTGGTTCTCTTGGAAAGCACTAGCTTCACCAAAGACTGTTTTCATCCTTCATGAACTTCAGTTTTGGATCCATGGTCCATGAACCCAACATATTCTGACTGCCAATTCCATCTACTCCATACAAAACCATTTGTGGGAGTGATCACTGTTGAGTTTTGTTGCACGATCGACTCCGTCAACCAACGTTTTCAGTCGCTTCTTCACCATCTTGATCGACCGCAGGAATCGACGATTCCATTTGGCAAGACCTGGCAGCTCAAGCGCAGCCAGCTGTGAAGCAAGAACCCGCCGCAGACGCGTGAGGGGGTTCCCTGAGAGGTAGTGAAAAAGGGGCGTCGGCGGCGAAGATTGAATCTTGTTGGTGAGGCCCACACGGATGTTTGATCAATGCTAAGGGTGTTTTTGAGGATGTTCAATCCACCTAATTTCGAGCGGTGATGGTGGACGGTACAAGTCCATCCATGTACATGCGCGGTTTCCTGGCTGCAGATCCAGGGGCTGGAAGAGCCAGGTGACCTGGTGACCTGCTCGTATATATATATATATATATAGTTAGAATAACTATATATATATATACCTGCATCCTCCTTTAGGCTAAAAAAAGGTAGAATATAGAATGTAACATATATATGCATGTAGTTGTACCCTCCAAAGCAGAGAATGGGATAGGGTCTTTGCAAAACAGGTAATTACTTGACTTGCACCCATTTTCTGAGGTACTTTGCGATTCCAGATATATGGGATTGGCTCCTTTTGGTCCTAAAGACGAGCTGATGGACATCGGAGCTTTTAAAAGTTTTGGCTCGAGACCCAGCTTGCTACCCCAAAACTCTTAGAGGAAAGGGACAAGAATCCAACACAACTCGACAGCATGTGGTGCCGCATCTTTGCGCTTCTGATCCTTGGCTGCGCTTCCACGTCCGAAACGCCCACACCTGCTTTGCGCGGGCAAAACCGGACACTTGAGGAAAGGCACGCTCTTGAGGAAGGGAGTTCCCTTCAGGAAGGGCGCGCTCTTGAGGAAGGGCGTTCCCTTGAAGAAGGGCCGGTGCAATGCATTTGCAAGGATTCAGAGGACAAGTACTACTGTGCAGAATCCTTTGCGGGCTTCCATTTGTGTTACCAGCCTTGCTCTTCACTCTGCTCTCAAACACATGGCAGGATGTTCATGTGTGGTGGCAAACACGAGACCATGTGGCTGGAGCGTTTCTTCAAGAATCAAATGGAATCAGACAAGCGTTGCAAACTTGACCAGAAAGGCAACAAAGGGAAGAAGTGAAGTGGCCCATAGCTGTCGAAAATTAGAGCGCTGGAGGCGTTGTGCTGGAGGGTGACTTGGGCTTTTGTGAGCTTGCTATATAGCTCTTTGTACAGCTTGGTGCAAAAAGCACGATTCGAATTTGCCTTGGCAAACAGGATTGCCATGGATTGCCACTTAGATTTACAGCAGCTTCATCGTAGCTCGGTGTACAGGACACAATGTATTGTCGTAGGATTTGGACGCCAATATACATCCTTGCAGTTGCTTCGACTGATGTGTCGGAGTGACTGCAAGGCGAAGTCATTTGCCCGTCTTCCACGACGTCTGACCACGCTGCAGATTCGCAGATTGAAGCTTTGCATGAAGCCTTTTGTATCGCAGCCTCGGGCAGTCTGCAAAAAACTTTCGGCCCAGCCATACATTGAGACTCTTTTTCTTTTGACCACTGTGAATTAGAAATATAATTGTATAGGTGTTTGGCATTGTTCGGCTGTTCGGCCGTACTTGAGTCTATCACTTCCCACGACGGGTCATCCCAACAGCGCTTTTTGGGCGCAGGTGCTGATGGACGTGGCGAGAGCCGTGAAGGCAGGTTGAAACTTACGCGTTGGGTGTGTTATGTTTTAATTCAAGCTCGATTTGCTCATCCGATCTGATCAAATTTGCAGGGACCCTCCAGAGTTGAAGCTTAGGTCTCATTCTAACTGCCTTAGAAGCCAAGATCCAAAAAACAACACAAACAAGAAGACGGGTTTTGAATGGTTTTTATGCACCCTTGTCAGTACTCCTGGCAAAGCATCAAAACCAGGTGGCTCAGAGTTTGGAAGTTGTTGTCTTTCTTGTTTTCAGTGTGGTTCCTGCACCACAAGGAAGCCCTGACAAGCGGTGGCCCTCTGCAAACCGTGTGTGCCTGAAGTTCGCTTTGCATGTCGACCGGGAGGCGAATTGGGCCCTGCCCTGCAGGGCTCTGTGCTGGCCGGCGAGAAAGGCCGGAGGAACGGCAAAGAAGGAAACCCGGAATCCCGACGACCAGCACCCAGAAACTGGGTGGGAAGGAACATGGCGAGTGGTTTGGGCGGTGTGTTTGGACCACAAGTTGGGAGTTCTGCTGGGAGCCCCAAACGTAGCGTCCTTGCTAGATGTTGATCCTCGGTGTTGTATCGATGTTTGTTTTCAGGTCCAGGTGGACAGACTCCCTCGCTGCGAGTCTGTGAGTCCCTCGCTGCGGTCGCAGCACAGACTGATCTCAGATCCATAAATGTGTGGAATAGATGCCCATCTGAAACGACCTCAATGTAGTGGAGCACAGCTACTCATGTTCTTTGCTTTCTTTTTAAGTGTCCTTGCTCCTGAGGGAACAAATGTTTGGATGAGTTTGGGATTGGAATTGCAAGCATTCTGCTTGTTTTTGTTCCCTTTGCCTGCCTGGCATCCCCCAAAAGTTTGTTGACTGCTGATGTTTTGTCATCTCTTCATGCTATTTCAAGCCTCAGGGCCGGCCTCTTCAGAGGCTTTACAATCCATGTGTTTCAAGAGGCCTTACAGGGCCTGAGCTGCTTGAGAACCTCGAAGTTTGATGTTCCGGAGGAAAAAACACAGTCGTAAAATGTGCGTTTTGTTTTCCCATCAGGTCACTACAGACGAAACAGAATTGCATGTATATAAAGGATGTGAATGTTCAAGTCACAACTGAGCACGGATGTCAATAGCAACATTGTGTTTCTGGGTGGTGGTTTCAGATATCTTTATGTTTATCCTTTACTTGGGAAAACTGAACCCATTGAGCTCACTGATACCCACTCACTCATTTTGTTCAAGTGAGTTGAAACCACCAACCAGCTGTTTCTTGTATGCTGCTCCTCCCAGTCTCAGTCTTGGACCTTGTGCTAGGAGTGTCAACTGGCCACCAGTCTTGCAAAAAAAAAAGGTCACGGTCACATTAAACAATATATCTAGGCTAGATTGTCAATTCTGTGTGCAGGACGAACATCCAGCAGTCTTGACTTAGACCAATGGCCGACGTGCTGGCTCTTGGTGTGCACGTCGGCACCGCACGCAAGCGCTTGGAACCGCACTGGTACGCTGGTCTTATCGCGGTGTGCGGTACGTCCCATCGTGGTACGACATGACATGTATTGAGTGTTTGTTGGACCTTCCAGAGAGTATTGGAGATCAGTGAGGTTTCTGAGATGCTCCGGCATTGGACACCACCGGAAATACACCGCCACCGCACGGATTCGCTTCGACGAATCCGGCAGGTGATTCGGAGGTGCCAAACTTGAGCCAGAGCTTTTCAAGGTGGGTGGTTTGCGGAACTTGAGATGGGTTGGGTTGACGGATTTTGCACCCCAAAAATGGGGGTACCAGATTTGTCAGGAACCCTGAGAAACTACGAGAGAACCAGGGATTGCTAAATGCAGCTTTAGGTTTTGGGTCCCAGATGTGTTCTAGTTTCACTGGAGATAGGACCGTGTATAGATGTGGCCTGAACCCTAATTGTGGGGGCCAGGGCATGTCATGTTGATTTCCCTTCCCTATTTTTTTATTAGAACCAGGATAAATTGCCCGGTGATTTGTCAAGCTTCTGGCCCATGCTGCACATATTTAGCGAGCGACAGACGATCCAGGCTCCTCCGCCCGACCCGGGCTCCTGTGTTGCGTCACCCAGGCTCCTGCGGGACCTTCCTGCATGGCATGTGTGGGGCTTGGAGGGGGCCTATGCTGACCTATCAGATTATCAATCTGTATATATTTATACATTTGTAGGATTTGTATATTATGTTGATCTAGTGTCGGGGGTTCTGTGTGCCCAAACAACATCTTGCACTTCCCCGAAGAAACACTTGGATCGGTGGGCCATGGTGGGCCTCTTTCTTTCTTCACACCCAAGGTCTTGCAGCACATGCCTTGGGGTGCTCTGTTTGTTTTGGGGAGTCTAGAAGAGATCTTGGAAGATCCTTTAAGACAAGTCTCGGCACGGACGACATGAGGGCAGATTCTCGGAGAAGATCTGGCTTTGACCAGGCCTTAGATGTTTACATCGGTTGCTATTCATAATTGAATTAGTCCTTTCACATCCTTTCACATTGGTTTGGAAGGACCCCACCGCACTTCTCAGTGGCAAAGGTAAGTGCGAATTTCGTATCATCCATTGCGGCTCCAGCACCATGTTCATCAAGTTTGCAGACCCATCGCCGACCGAGCAAACAATCCACCTGGGTGTGCTATTGCTACTATACTATACTTCAGGTATAGGGGGCCCTTTTGCTTCTTTTCTGTTAAAACATCGACTGCGCACTTCTTGTCCACTTCCACTCTCCCCGACCCTTCCACTCGAAGGGTCGACGTCAGGACGAAGTCGCTCCGCTCCCGAGGAGTGGGCCGTGTCCGACGCCGCGCACGGAGGCGCTGACGATGAGGACAGCGAGGGACGTCCGAAGCAATGTGCGTACAATGTGTTTATACATAGATGAAAATGTGTATACATTTATACATTAGTAGTTAGACTAGTATATTTATACTCAGATGTTGTTTATATATATATATATGTATGTACGACATGTATATATATATATACACTTACACATATGTTTGTATTATTAGTATATGATATATATATATATTAAAATGTACATAACCCTCCCCAAGGACTGCTCGGAACGGATTGGAGACAAATAAGATTACAACACATATGTTCCGATGGGGCAAACATATGTGGACTCTATTTGGTGGCAAACAACATGTTTTGGTGTCTTTCTTGTCGAAAGCTGCGGAAGCAAGGCACGGCATTGCCGTTTGGGCCTTTGTGCAAAACAGCCCAGTTTGTGGCCAGCGCAGGAGAGCAACAACTGAGACAGCTAATCACCCAGCGCTGCAAGTACTACTCGCAGCCTTCCACCTTTAGAGAACATTTGGTTGAAATGGTCCAACTCTTTGACGGTCACAAAAAATAAACATATGGCCCATATGGCAATAAACGTGTTTGATGTTTGATGAGTTAGATATGGCAAACGCTCACAGAAGAGACTTGGTTTGGGTTTC